TATATTTTAGATTTGAGATTCTTCAAATAGCCACCCTTTGCCTTGATGACAGCTTTGCACACTCTTGGCATTCTCTCAACCAGCTTCACCTGGAATGCTTTTCCAACAGTCTTGAAGGAGTCCCCACATATGCTGAGCACTTGTTGGCTGCTTTTCCTTCACTCTGCCGTCCGACTCATCCCAAACCATCTCAATTGGGTTGAGGTCATAGGATTGTGGAGGCCAGGTCATCAGATGCAGCACTCCATCACTCTCCTTCTTGGTAAAATAGCCCTTACACAGCCTGGAGGTGTGTTGGGTCACTGTCCTGTTGAAAAACAACTGATAGTCCCACTAAGCCAAAACCAGATGGGATGGTGTATTGCTGCAGAATGCTTTGGTAGCCATGCTGGTTAAGTGTGCCTTGAATTCTAAATAAATCACAGACAGTGTCCCCAGAAAAGCACCCCCACACCGTAACACCTCCTCTTCCATGCTTTACGGTGGGAACTACACATGCAGAGATCATCCGTTCACCCACACCGCGTCTCACAAAGACACGGAGGTTGGAACCAAAAATCTCCACCGGTCTAATGTGCATTGCTCGTGTTTCTTGGCCCAAGCAGGTCTCTTCTTATTATTGGTCTCTTCTTATCCTTTAGTAGTTGTTTCTTTGCAGCAATTCGACCATGAAGGCCTGATTCACACAGTCCCCTCTGAACAGTTGATGTTGAGATGTGTCTGTGACTTGAACTCTGTGAAGCATCTATTTGGGCTGCAATTTCTGAGGCTGGTAACTCAACTGAACTTATCCTCTGCAGCAGAGGTAACTCTGGGTCTTCTATTCCTGTGGCGGTCCTCATGAGAGCCAGTTTAATCATAGCGCTTTTTTGTTTTTGCGACTGCACTTGCAGAAACGTTAAAAGTTCTTGAAATGTTCCATATTGACTGACCTTCATGTCTTAAAGTAATGATATACTGTCGTTTCTCTTTGCTTATTTGAGCTGTTCTTGCCCTAATATGGACTTGGTCTTTTACCAAATAGGGGTATCTTCTGTATACCCCCCCCCCCCCCCCCCCCCCCCCTTGTCACAGCACAACTGATTGGCTAAAAATCATTAAGAAGCAAAGAAATTCCACAAATTAACTTTTAAGAAGGCACACATGTTAATTGAAATGCATTCCAGGTGACGACTACCTCATGAAGATGGTTGAGAGAATGCCAAGAGTGTGCAAAGCTGTCATCAAGGCAAAGGGTGGCTATTTGAAGACTCTAAAATATATTTTGATTTGTTTAACACTTTTTTGGTTACTACATGATTCCATATGTGTTATTTCATAGTTTTATGTCTTCACTATTATTCTACAATGTAAAAAATAGTAAAAATAAAGGAAGATCCTTGAATGAGTAGGTGTGTCCAAACTTTTGACTGGTAGTGCACATTTACATTTAATATTTTAGTCATTTAGCAGACCGCTAATCCAGAGTGATTTACAATTAGTGCATTCATCTTCAGCTAGCTAGGTGAGACAACAACACATCACAATCGTATCAGATACATTTTCCCTCAACATAGTATTTATCAGCAAAGTCAGTGCTAGTAGTAAAATAAAAATGCTAAACATCCAGTTGATATTTGCATTGCAACAGAAAGCAAGTTTGGATTAGGTCAAAGACATATTTTCTTAGAGAACTGGGGAGAAATGTTATTGATACAATCTTGCATCATTACTAGACCACAATATCTCTCTCTAGGTCTAGGGGAAGGGTCTATGGATGTATAGAGTGGTGAATGGTGGCTAGGGGAAGGGGCTTGGAAAAGGGGGTAGAGGGGTGGTTGGTTAGGATTTGGACTATGATTTATACTGGCCCATCTGGCCTCCTCCACTCAGGGCAGTCTTCTGGAACTAAAGCCAGTAATGTTGATGACATCACAGGTTCGTACGCAGCTTCTCATAACATGATGTTCCACTCTAGTTGTGCTCCTAATCCCCACATGACCCACTTAACACATTCTGTACCTGCTGTGAGAAACAGTCCCCTCTAGCTGACCTTAGGTGGGCAGAGGTGCCCCTGGCATGCAAGTACCATAAAACCCTCTGAAGAAGAAAAACATGATCATATGTCCAATAGTTATGGTGTCATGTTATCATGTCATCAATGTATCAATTTCAAGGTTTACTTTGCATTCTGGCTGCAACTACTACTACTCTAATAGCCTAAATATACTGTAAATTAATTGACCAAATAATGCAAAGTGTTAAGTTAACATAATGTAATGCAGGCATGCTAAAAAACCGTTATGCTTAAATACAGTGGGGAAAAAAAGTATTTAGTCAGCCACCAATTGTGCAAGTTCTCCCACTTAAAAAGATGAGAGAGGCCTGTAATTTTCATCATAGGTACAAGTCAACTATGACAGACAAAATGAGAAAAAAATTCCAGAAAAATCACATTGTAGGATTTTTAATGAATTTATTTGCAATTTATGGTGGAAAATAAGTATTTGGTCAATAACAAAAGTTTCTCAATACTTTGTTATATACCCTTTGTTGGCAATGACACAGGTCAAACGTTTTCTGTAAGTCTTCACAAGGTTTTCACACACTGTTGCTGGTATTTTGGCCCATTCCTCCATGCAGATCTCCTCTAGAGCAGTGATGTTTTGGGGCTGTCGCTGGGCAACACAGACTTTCAACTCCCTCCAAAGATTTTCTATGGGGTTGAGATCTGGAGACTGGCTAGGCCACTCCAGGACCTTGAAATGCTTCTTACGAAGCCACTCCTTCGTTGCCTGGGCGGTGTGTTTGGGATCATTGTCATGCTGAAAGACCCAGCCACGTTTCATCTTCAATGCCCTTGCAGATGGAAGGAGGTTTTCACTCAAAATCTCACGATACATGGCCCCATTCATTCTTTCCTTTACACGGATCAGTCGTCCTGGTCCCTTTGCAGAAAAACAGCCCCAAAGCATGATGTTTACACCCCCATGCTTCACAGTAGGTATGGTGTTCTTTGGATGCAACTCAGCATTCTTTGTCCTCCAAACACGACGAGTTGAGTTTTTACCAAAAAGTTCTTTTTTTGGTTTCATCTGACCATATGACATTCTCCCAATCCTCTTCTGGATCATCCAAATGCACTCTAGCAAACTTCAGACGGGCCAGGACATGTACTGGCTTAAGCAGGGGGACACGTCTGGAACTGCAGGATTTGAGTCCCTGGCGGCGTAGTGTGTTACTGATGGTAGGCTTTGTTACTTTGGTCCCAGCTCTCTGCAGGTCATTCACTAGGTCCCCCTGTGTGGTTCTGGGATTTTTGCTCACCGTTCTTGTGATCATTTTGACCCCACGGGGTGAGATCTTGCGTGGAGCCCCAGATCGAGGGAGATTATCAGTGGACTTGTATGTCTTCCATTTCCTAATAATTGCTCCCACAGTTGATTTCTTCAAACCAAGCTGCTCACCTATTGCAGATTCAGTCTTCCCAGCCTGGTGCAGGTCTACAATTTTGTTTCTGGTGTCCTTTGACAGCTCTTTGGTCTTGGCCATAGTGGAGTTTGGAGTGTGACTGTTTGAGGTTGTGGACAGGTGTATTTTATACTGATAACAAGTTCAAACAGGTGCTATTAATACAGGTAACGAGTGGAGGACAGAGGAGCCTCTTAAAGAAGAAGTTACAGGTCTGTGACAGCCAGAAATCTTGCTTGTTTGTAGGTGAACAAATACTTATTTTCCACCATAATTTGCAAATAAATTCATCAAAAATCCTACAGTGTGATTTTCTGGATTTTTTTTTCTTAATTTGTCTGTCATAGTTGATGTGTACCTATGATGAAAATTACAGGCCTCTCTCATCTTTTTAAGTGGGAGAACTTGCACAATTGGTGGCTGACTAAATACTTTTTTTCCCCACTGTATCCCTCACTCATGCATTCAAGAGCAAGGCCATTTGTTGTGATAGGCTACAACAAAATCAATCTAGCCAGATCAGACTCAACATTTGACAGCCTGGTCTCATAGACTAGCCATAACATTGTAAATGTAAATCCGGCGGCCTCAAATTAGTATTATATGTTATGTTTGGTATGGTTACATAAGACAGAAGGTTACTTAAAACAAATACTAAGTAGGGTGGTTAGTCGGGGTCGATGGGTAGGCGTATAAAGCGAAGATTTAATTGTAATTCGTAACATGTCATACAAAATGGATGATGGACATCCACAAATTAATACATACCATACGAAACATGACATTCATAATAAATGGAAGGAGACAGATGTATATGTACTATGTTACGTCTACCGCTGAGTCCAGGTTGCATTTGAGAGCAGATTCAATCAGATCCGCTTTAGCTTGGAGATGTCCGCATGGTCCTAAAGCACACCATTGCCTCGTTTTGTATCACATGGGGGACATATCCCCCCCAGTGAAAGTTGTGCCCCTGTCAAATTCACAAGCGGCTCACTATACCTAAAGCCGGCACTGAATCACTGTTGTCGCTAGCTTCCACAGCCACAAAATCATAAAATCCGCCTATTTCTACAATTTATCTTCTAAAATTTTGATTATTAACCTTAACCACACTGCTAACCTTATGCCTAACCATAACCTTAAATTAAGACCAAAAAGCTAATTTTTGTTTGTTTTCATGAATTCTTACTATTAGCCAATTTAGACTTTGTGGCTATGGTAATCTCACACATTGTAAATAAATAACACTAATAACGTGAATACAACTCATTGCCAGTTATCAACGTGATGTCTTATTATAATTAACTTTAACCCCCCCCCCCCCCCCGTGAATAAAACTCATTGCCAGTTATCAACGTGATGTCTTATTATAATTTACATTAACCCCCCCCCCCCCCCCCCACCATCACCCCACCCCGTCCACCAACCCACCATCACCCCACCCCGTCACCCCTGGGGAAAGGGAAAACAACCAATGGGTTTACGACAAAGGGAGAGGTCCTATTTAAAGAACTGGGCAGTTCAAGGTGGCTCAGATATCAACACTACGCGCCAGAGAACGCACGGGAAATATTCTAACCGGTGGAAAATTGTCACGGTTTTACGTTAGATTTCTTTTCTGGGCTGAGATTGCAAACTTTACATACATTTTCCAAAAATACGATTTATTACCTAGAAAAGAAATGAAAGGGTTGCAAGTGCAATGTCTTTACTTTCTTGTGTTAAATGCAGTATTTTATGTGACGTCTTTGGAAGAGGGGAACTCTGTTTCTACGCTTGGTGAGTAGCCAATTGACAAAAAAACGTTTCTGCATTGTTTTGCGGTCTGATAAAATCTGTTTGCATTTGTGCTGCTTAAGTGAAATATTTTTTTGAAGAATCGAATCTTTCAAATAATTCATTAATGTAGTTGACAGCCTACATATACTGCCACTTATAGTAAGGCTACTATAAACAGTACATTTTCGGGAAGTGCTATAATAACAGACTACAAATGAGTTTGTGATGACTTAGACTACATTGTTAGTATAGGATATGATGACTAAAGTATAAGGCTGAACGCCCATTCATTCATACTCTATTTGAGTAATGTTACTATAGGGATTGAAGAAACGTTGTGTTCTAATGTTGATGCATATTGGACATATAAGAACAGACAAAATTGATAGGCTACATAATCTCAAATATATATGTATTTTTTCCCCTTAAAAAAAATAATAATCTAGGTTTTCTTCAGCAAAGCTGAAGTAGGACATAGATGTAGTCAGTTTATGCATATGAATACATAGTCTATTGTTTATTTTCATTATTAGAAATATAATGTAGTTATTATGTCTGCTTTAACCTTCATGGAATATGCAACCTCCATTCATTACAGTGCAGTAGCCTTGGCTTAGGAGTCAGCTGACCCATTGGGAACACAGCTACTTTGAATCCATGTGGGATTTTTCAGAGCTAGAGGAACAAAGCTGGGAAAACTTGTGGTTTCTATAGGGTCTGTCTGACCGACTGAACCCTAGTAGCCAGGGCCTGATTAATGCAGGGGCTTACAGGGGCTGAAACCCCGGGGCCCAAGCCCGGAAATGTATATGATTTGTTAATCTGACCCTGCTAGTAACCCCCCAGTCAGACGTTCCCACCACCACCTATGTGGTTAAAGATTAGAAACAGCACGGATGGATCTAAAGATCTAACAATCCATTGGCCGTCAGCTAGAGGCTTCCATTCTCTCTTTACTGCAATGGTATCTTCAAACACTTAGTAATGAATTTTCCAAAATTTCTTAAGCATATGTTTTGTTTACTTTCCTCTCTCAGATAATTTCATGGACAACCTCAAGGACTTGATTCAAAACAAGGAACCCACCCCTCATGCCCATGCCAAATTCTCCCTCCGGAAGCCTTTGATGCCGGAAGATGACATCTGCTACATCATCCCCGGCAACCCGGAATCTCTCAAAGAATGCACTTTCAACAGCACCTCCAAAACCTTCCTTGTGATCCACGGCTGGACGGTAAGCCCCTCCAACCTGTAGCAGCATGTCTGTGACATTAAGTGCTTAACAACTATTGCTCAAGGAATTGGATTCCCCCGTCAATAACACCATTCGTTCTTTCCATCTGCCTCAACAGGTGAGTGGCTTGTTTGAGAGCTGGGTGGCCAAGCTGGTGTCGGCGCTGTACAAGAGAGAGCAGGAAGCCAATGTGATCGTGGTGGACTGGCTGTACACAGCCCAGAACCACTATCCAGTAGCCGCCCAGAACACCAAGATGGTGGGAGAAGAGATAGCTCGCTTCATTGACTGGCTGGAGGTTTGTACAATGACTCAACATCTAAGACACTGCAGTGTTTCTCAGATAAAGCATGAATAACATATTTTAAACAAAAGGTATAAAGAGTTACAGTATATTGTTTAATATGGCAATGAACTTGACACTTTACTCCAATGTGTTTCCAAGGAGGCAACCAACATCCCTCTTGAAAACCTCCACCTCATTGGCTACAGTCTGGGTGCTCATGTGGCAGGATTCGCTGGGAGCCACGCCTCCAATAAAGTGGGCAGAATAACTGGTAAATATAACGTCTTATAGAGAAACATAGACAAGATGATAGCACTGTTGCTAATCATTGATTGACTCTTTGGCCTGTACCAACTTTCATTCATTGGCCCTTGGCTTGTTCTACTCCTCACTGATTGGTCCCCTTCTCTTTACAGGTCTTGACCCTGCCGGTCCAGACTTCGAGGGGGAGCACGCTCACCGCCGCCTGTCCCCAGATGATGCCCACTTTGTGGATGTTCTCCACACGTTCACGCAGGGCTCTCTGGGCTTTAGCATCGGCATCCAGCAGCCTATAGGCCATGTGGACATCTACCCCAATGGAGGCAGCTTCCAGCCAGGCTGCAATCTGCAAGGCACCCTGGAAACAATATCCAAATTTGGCCTCTTTGGTGAGAATCACATCTTGATATTTTAGTGTGTCATTCTATACAATTGGTTAAATATTAGACATATAACAACATTCACAATCACTTTCCACACAATGACTCTGTTGTCAATCTGGGTACTGAGTTATCATTGGCTAAGTCAGACATGTAATTGTCTGCTTGCAACTTATTCGAAGATGGCAGGGCTTGTGAACAAGGAACAATAGTGTGGTCAAGTCGGTACAACCTGACGTACATCAACATGACATCAGTTGCAGTAACTGTGCAGCTAGTCACTAATCTGACTTTACGTCTAACATCAGCCTGACAAAGGCCTATTCAGGACCGCAAACATCACGGCTAGAGAAAATCCCTTCAGAAGGTCACCAACAACATCACTCCTATTGTAGCTCCCCAGATAAAAGGTTGATATAACTCTATCTATAATGGTAATGCTAGGGAATGGAACTTTATCAGGATTAGTGATATACTACTAGATACATCTACTTGTTATCATTTGATTGCCTGTCCTCCAATTGAGATAATCTCAACTCTGGTTTTTAATGCGGACCAGTGATGCAACTATCCCCTTTATGTTCCTAGCTATCAATGATGTTCCCAGGTGTTCCCACGAGCGCTCCATCCACCTGTTCATCGACTCCCTGGTTAACGAGCAGGAGGCCAGCATGGTGTACCGCTGCGGGAGCAACGATATGTTCGACCGAGGAATGTGCCTCAGCTGCCGCAAGAACCACTGTAACACCGTGGGCTACGATATCAGCAAGGTCCGCAAGACACGTAGCATCAAGATGTACACCAAGACCAGGGCCTCCATGCCGTTCAGAGTCTATCACTACCAGGTGAAGATCCACTTCTCCAGCAAGGTGAACAGGTCTGAGATGGAGCCTTCACTGACAGTCTCTCTGATTGGAACCAAAGGAGAGGTTGAAGACCTCAAACTGACACTGTGAGTACCTGCTCCAACAAGCAGTTAAACCCTAAACCATACAACAAACCACATGCTAGTACATCAACATGATAAGACACCTGATACAATTTCTCATGTTTATGATAACATTAATCTTTACGGTCTATAGTTCAAGTTCTAGTGCTACTGTAGTCTATGCTTAGACATGACACCTTCACTCGGAGAGGTAAATGAGTTCTTATGAAGTGAGTTGACAATAATCAGTTGAGCCTCTATGCTCTTTCTCATTGGCAGAAAGGAGAAGATAACAACCAATAAGACCCATTCCTTCCTGCTGGTAGCAGAGAAAGACATTGGTGACCTCCTAATGGTGAAATTCAAGTGGGAGGAGTCTACTAGCTGGTCTGCCTCGTTCATGCTCAACATGGTGTCTTCCTGGTGGTCAGGTGACAATGCGGAGTCTGAAGTGGAGGTCCACAAAATACGCATCAGAGTCGGGGAGACGCAAAAAAAGTTCGTTTTAAGAGGCCTAATTTCTTTAATATCATGAAACAGAGACAATTTTTATCCATACAAACATCAGAAATATAATAGTTTTTGAAATAAAGTGCAAAACAATTATCTATTATTTATTAGTTGACTTGCCTTTTAATGTTGTTTCTTGTTTGACCCTTTTCCAGGATGGTGTTCTGCATTAAAGATCCTCATGCTCTGAGCTTACAACAGGAAGTTACGTTTGTAAAATGCAAGGACGAATGGAGGAAAAGTTCAAAAAGGTGATTTTTTTTTTTTATCTAATCAACTATTATTTTCTTCGTGCAATACTTTTTTCCTGGATTATTGCCAGTCGGGTCCATTGATTAGACAAATATTAACCCTGTGTTTGCTTTACAGAGTGAACCTGGGGAACCACTAACACTGAATGTACGGAGCAACAGACAAATGTCCTCCTTCCACTTCCGCAGCTCTTAGAGAAATTATTTTTACAGCTGTAATTTATTTTGTCTTTCAAACTATACAAAGACATTATCACATTGTATATCGTGTACAGAACTAGAACTGTGTGTTATTTAAAAATGTTTGTGATTATGTGAACAATCTTTTTTGTAAGCACTGCTTTTGTGGCACATCAACTACGGTGTGGTGCTAAAGGATAGTAAATGCCATCGTCTTTGCTGGTTTTCTGGCAACCCCAAAGAGATGGTTCTTATACAAAGTCTTTGGTGCCTCTGATTGACAGAGACCCATTGACAGGCTGAGTAGAGGCCTCGAGGTACCTGCAGTTCAAACCTCATGTGTTTCCTTACTTTATGCTTAACAAAGCATTCACCATTGTCGTCCTCAATACTATGTGATTGTAGGATCGGACTCCGTGTGCCTTAAAATAACTTGTTGTCAATGAACTTGTCTTAACCTACTGTATGTATTTTTTGTTGTTGTTGATGACAGTGTACGTTTTTTTTTATAGTGAGTTGTATCTTTTACCTGGTCTTTGAGACAGTAATATTCGTGAGGTCCGAAGTGCACATTATTTCCGAGAACTTTGTGAATTTAGTCAAGCACTTGAGCAATAATGCAATGGCTGCTATTTTTACACAGTATATTAATTTGAAACCAGCAATAGTGAGGCCTTTGCAGCAAAATACGGTGCATATCAGTGAGAACCATTATTTTTGTAGTTATTACAATGTTATAAATATGTTATACTAGATTTTTTTTTTTTTTAACAATGATTCATATGGAACTGTTACCTCTAGCAAGTGCTTATGTGATGTATTTTGACTAACATATCCATGGTTGCTGCTAAACTATAAAACTATAAACTAACTATAATGCTCATTTAGCTGTGGATGTCATTTTATAATTGTGACCAGGTAGCTTCACTCAAAGAAGTCAATGAGTGGTTATTGTGAAGTGAGCTGACATCAGCAATAGAAACATGACAGCCTTCTTCAGTAGACTGTGCACAGTGGACTTGCATCATCGTTACAGTTAATAATTGCCTAGTAATATATCTGATTGTCAGACTATTTTAACAGCAGTAGAGTAGGCTATTTATAACTAATATTATACATTTAGAGATCGGTATTGTAATCATTGTGACTTATTTCATTTCTGCCTGTTCTATTGAGCCTGTAGAAAAGGTGGAGATGTAAAACTTTTGCACTGAAAACAGAGGAAAGGGTTACTAAACCAGTTGCTAAGTGCACCATGTGTAAATATCCTATTAGCATATGATTCTATGGTAAAGAATATTACAATATATTTTTTACCCTCTTATCTTTTTTTATTATATCTGCAATCGGTATACTGTATATACACCTGTAAATATGTGACTATATACATACTTTAATAAATTGGAACTGCTATTTTGAAGTTGAATGAGTGTTTTTAATGGAAACATAGTTGTAAAATTGTCCAGGATCATGCTTAGATATACTATACAATTCTAACCCATTCACACATTCAAGAAGAGACAAACTCAGCAATGTATTATCCATGATACACAATCTACATTCCATTTTAGAACATACAGTGCCTTCAGAAAGTACTCACACCCCTTGACTTTTTTCAAAATTTGTTGTGTTAAATTGAGATTTTGTGTCACTGGCCTACACACAATACCCCATAATGTGAAAGTGGAATTATGTTTTTAGAAATTTTTCTAAATTAATTATAAATGAAAAGCTGAAATGTCTTGAGTCAATAAGTATTCAACCCCTTTGTTATGGCAAGCCTAAATAAATTCAGAAGTAAAAATGTGCTTATTAACAAGTTGAATGGACACACACTGTGTGCAATAATAGTGGTTAACATCATTTTTGAATGACTACCTCATCTCTGTACCCCACACATACAATTATCTGTAAGGTCCCTCAATCGAGCAGTGAATTTCAAACACAGATTCAACCACAAAGACCAGGGAGGTTTTCCAATGCCTCGCAAAGAAGGGCACCTATTGGTAGAATAAAATAAAAAAAAGCAGACATTGAATATCCCTTTGAGCATGGTGAAGTTATTAATTACACTTTGGATGGTGTATCAATACACCCAGCCACTACAAAGATACAGGTATCCTTCCTAATATGAGGCCAATGGTGACTTTAAAACAGTTACAGAGTTTAATGGCCGTGATAGGAGAAAACTGAGGATGGATCAACAACATTGTAGTTACTTTACAATACCAACCTAAATGACAGAGTGAATAGAAGGAAGCCTGTACAGAATAAAATGTTTCTAAAACATGCATCCTGTTTGCAATAAGGCACTAAAGTAAAACTGCAAAAAAATTGTGGCAAAGAAATTAACTTTATGTCCTGAATGCAAAGCATCATGTTTGGGACAAATCCAACACAACACATCACTGAGTACCACTCTTCATATTTTCAAGCATGGTGGTGGCTGCATCATGTTATGGGTATGCTTGTCACCGGCAAGGACTAGGGAGTCTTTTTGGATAAAAATAAACGGAATAGAGCTAAGCCTAGGCTAAATCCTAGAGGAAAAGCTGGTTCAGTCTGCTTTCCAACAGACACTAGGAGCCAAATTCACCTTTCAGCAGGACAATAACCTAAAACACAAGGCCAAAAATACACTGGAGTTGCTTACCAAGACGACATTGAATGTTCCTGAATGGCCTGGTTACAGTTTTGACTTAAATTGGCATGAAAATCTATGGTAAGACTTTAAAATGGCTGTCTAGCAATGATCAACAACCAACTTTTTTAAATATAATAATAATGTGCAAATATTGTACAATCCAGGTGTGCAAAGCTCTTACAGACCTACCCAGAAAGAATCACAGCTGTAATCGCTGTCAAAGGTGATTCTAACATGTATTGACTCAGGGGTGTGAATACTTATGTAAATGAGATATTTCTGTATTTCATTTAGAATAAATATGCAAAAATGTCACTTTGTCATTATGGGGTATTGTGTGTAGATGGGTGAGAAACAAAATCAATTTAATCCATTTTAAATTCAGGTTGTAAGACAACAAAATGTGGAAAAAGTCAAGGGGTATGAATACTTTCTGAAGGCACTGTACAACAATCACAAAGCTTTCAGTCACTTCCCTCTACTCAATCTCATTCAAGAAGTGGTCATCACACATTTTTACTGGAACTTTCTCTCGACAATAGAAACACTGCCCATTGTGTTCTAATCCTGCACTCAAATAAACCTGACTGACTCCATTTTGTCCCTGATGCCATTCCATTTGGCTGCCAAGGGCAAGGTGACCCACCAATATCAAATGGTCTCTTGTTTTTCAATGGCGCTCTCTTTTCGAGCTCCAGTATAATGGCTGATGAACAGCAACAGCCCCAAGTAATACTGGACTATTCTGCCTGGTGTACCATGTCTGTCTACACAGCTTATTTTAGTCCTCACCTCACCTAGATACCTCAGTACTCTAGTGGACAGACATACACAATACAGGTAACTAGAGGCAATCCTTGTGTCCTTCAAACTGGTCCAAGCTGGTCCATTGTGTCAAATGAGACACAATGCCACTACGGTGGAAAACTGGATGATTGTTAAGGATCACATTAGCCTTCAGGTTCAAATTGCTGAGTGAAGGTCACTGATGGAGGGCCATGGACAGAAGGAAGAATGGTACATTAAGTGCATGAATGGACAGGTGGTTCTAAAAAAGAACATCCCACTCGTAGATCAGTGAGGGCAAAACAAACTTGGCAACACCCCCTTTTCCACCACACGTGCATTGAGGAACACGGCACAGAGTTGTGACGTACTTGTTAATATAGATAGATAGTTAACGGTTACAGTCTTTGTCCTAGTCAGAGACAGAAATGGAGCTACGGCGGGTTACTCTGGGTCCCCCATGTCCAGGGTGCATTCACACAGACACACAGTGCTGACCATCACGGCAGACAGAGTCATGATGGCCAGGAGAATAGCCTATCAGTGAGCCTGCGGACGACAAGAGCACAAGTCAAACATTTGCCCACTCTAGTTCAAGTCTGCTATAGTCAGCTGTTTAATAGCCAAAACACCTCCAATTCCATTTACTTTCATTCACATTGACTTGAGGTGACATTATCTTTTCTTCAGGAAGCCATTTGCTACAGGATGTTAGTCAGCTAACATTCCAAATGTGTCACACTCAGTTAGATGGAACCAATGGGCATGCAATAGTGGTTCAGCTGTGGTGTGGAAACACTACTGTTGCCATACCACAGCCTAATAACCTTTACCTTAGCTGGCATGGCTCCCAAACCAGTTATGTGTAGTACTGTCCTCGAATTAAATAAAAAATAAGACATAAACTATGAGCTGGGGGCCTCCGGAGTGGCGCAGCGGTCTAAGGCACTGCATCGCAGTGCTAGAGCCATTTACATTACATTTTAGTCATTTAGCAGACGCTCTTATCCAGAGCGACTTACAGGAGCAATTAGGGTTAAGTGCCTTGCTCAAGGGCACATTTACGTCATTTAGCAGACGCTCTTATCCAGAGCGACTTACAAATTGGTGCATTCACCCTATAGCTAGTGGGATAACCACTTTCCAAATTTTTTTTTTTTTTTAGAAGGATTACTTTATCCTATCCCAGGTATTCCTTAAAGAGGTGGGGTTTCAAATGTCTCCGGAAGGTGGTGAGTGACTCCGCTGTCCTGGCGTCGTGAGGGAGCTTGTTCCACCATTGGGGTGCCAGAGCAGCGAACAGTTTTGACTGGGCTGAGCGGGAACTATGCTTCCGCAGAGGAAGGGGAGCCAGCAGGCCAGAGGTGGATGAACGCAATGCCCTCGTTTGGGTGTAGGGACTGATCAGAGCCTGAAGGTACGGAGGTGCCGTTCCCCTCACTGCTCCATAGGCAAGCACCATGGTCTTGTAACGGATGCGAGCTTCAACTGGAAGCCAGTGGAGTGTGCGGAGGAGGGGGGTGACGTGAGAGAACTTGGGAAGGTTGAACACCAGACGGGCTGCGGCATTCTGGATGAGTTGTAGGGGTTTAATGGCACAGGCAGGGAGCCCAGCCAACAGCGAGTTGCAGTAATCCAGACGGGAGATGACAAGTGCCTGGATTAGGACCTGTGCCGCTTCCTGTGTAAGGCAGGGTCGTACTCTCCGAATGTTGTAGAGCATGAACCTGCAGGATCGGGTCACCGCCTTGATGTTAGCGGAGAACGACAGGGTGTTGTCCAGGGTCACGCCAAGGCTCTTCGCACTCTGGGAGGAGGACACAACGGAGTTGTCAACCGTGATGGCGAGATCATGGAACGGGCAGTCCTTCCCCGGGAGGAAGAGCAGCTCCGTCTTGCCAGGGTTCAGCTTGAGGTGGTGATCCGTCATCCATACTGATATGTCTGCCAGACATGCAGAGATGCGATTCGCCACCTGGTTATCAGAAGGGGGAAAGGAGAAGATTAGTTGTGTATCGTCAGCGTAGCAATGATAGGAGAGGCCATGTGAGGATATGACAGAGCCAAGTGACTTGGTGTATAGGGAGAAAAGGAGAGGGCCTAGAACTGAGCCCTGGGGGACACCAGTGGTGAGAGCACGTGGTGCGGAGACAGCTTCTCGCCACGCCACTTGGTAGGAGCGACCGGTCAGGTAGGACGCAATCCAGGAGTGAGCCGCGCCGGAGATGCCCAGCTCGGAGAGGGTGGAGAGGAGGATCTGATGGTTCACAGTATCAAAGGCAGCAGACAGGTCTAGAAGGACAAGAGCAGAGGAGAGAGAGTTAGCTTTAGCAGTGCGGAGAGCCTCCGTGACACAGAGAAGAGCAGTCTCAGTTGAATGACCAGTCCTGAAACCTGACTGGTTTGGATCAAGAAGGTCATTCTGAGAGAGATAGCAAGAGAGTTGGCTAAAGACGGCACGCTCAATAGTTTTGGAAAGAAAAGAAAGAAGGGATACTGGTCTGTAGTTGTTGACATCAGTGGGATCGAGTGTTGGTTTTTTGAGAAGGGGTGCAACTCTCGCTCTCTTGAAGACGGAAGGGACATAGCCAGCGGTCAAGGATGAGTTGATCAGCGAGGTGAGGTAGGGGAGAAGGTCACCGGAGATGGTCTGGAGAAGAGAGGAGGGGATGGGGTCAAGCGGGCAGGTTGTTGGGCGGCCTGCAGTCACTAGTCGCAAGATTTTATCTGGAGAGAGAGGGGAGAAAGAAGTCAAAGCATAGGGTAGGGCAGTGTGAGCAGGACCAGCAGTGTCATTAGACTTAACAAACGAGGATCGGATGTCGTCAACCTTCTTTTCAAAGTGGTTGACGAAGTCATCCACAGAGAGGGAGGAGGGGGGGGGGGGGGTGGGGGGGAGGATTCAGCAGTGAGGAGAATGTGGCAAAGAGCTTCCTAGGGTTAGAGGCAGATGCTTGGAATTTAGAGTGGTAGAAAGTGGCCTTAGCAGCAGAAACAGATGAAGA